GAGTTCAAGGAGCTGCTTTCGAATTTAGTCAACTTTATTCTTCTGGCTCCTTGATCCTAAACTCATTATATGGAATTCAGTTTGGTTGGTCTGAATGGAACGTTCTTTCTAAGTGAGAGTGCCTTGGGTTGCTACCATACAGTACTAGCTTCTTTGCTTCCCTTCTGTCTTCCTTTATGGTGGCTTCAGTGTTGACTGTATTACTCCATGTAATGTGTGTGTGTGTGTGTGAGTAAAGCACAGTCAAATTGCAGCCGACTTGCGGCGACCCAGCAAGGGGCTTTCAAGGCAGGTGAGAAGCAGAGGTGGTTTGCCACTGCCTTCTTCTGCAGTGTCTTCCTTGACAGTCTCCTTTCCAAGTATCGGCCCTGCTTAGATTCTGCCTTCCCTCAGTCCTTGTAATGAACATAAGAGAAGCCAGTGTTGAATCAGGCCAATGGCCCATCCAGTCCAACACTCTGTCACACAGTGGCCAAAAATACCAGGTGCCATCAGGAGGTCCAGCAAACTGGGCTGGATCCAAACCATGGGTCTGGCTCCAAAGGTGCAGCTGATTATATTTATTACTTGCATAAAGGAAGTTATTTTTAAATTATTCTTTTTTTACAATTCTTTTTTTTTTTGCCACCGTCAAGCTGACATTTGGCGACCCCTAGTGGGGCTTGAAGGCAGGGGACATTCAGAGGTGGCTTGCCATTGCCTGCCTCTGCATCACGACTGTGGTATTCCTTGGAAGTCTCCCATCCACAAACCAGCCAGGGCTGGCCTTGCTTAGCTTCTGAGATTTGATGAGATCGGGCTTGCCTGGGCTATCCAGATCAGGGCCATGTATAAATTATTCTTGAATTGTAATGGTTTAAATATGAGGTCTGGTAGAAAACAAACAATGGATTGGATTGTACCAGGCACAAGAAGGGGAGGGCACATTTTGGCCCCATGCTGAAAAGCCTACGCCAGGAGCCCATGTTGGCCAAAGTCACATGAGGTGGAGCTGCAGTGAAGGGGGCAGTCGGGCAAGGCCATCCTTACTCTCTCTCGAACTTGCTGGTAGCATTCAGCCCTTTGGATTGTTAATATCATTAAAATGCGGCAGCTGAAGAGTTTACGGAGGAAGTGCTTCCATTTCAGAAAAATTCTTCTATGAATGAGGAAACCCTCCCCCCCCCAATTGATTGATTCTGCGTATGTTTGCCTCTATGTCTGTTTTACAGTAGACTTGCTTGAGAAGATTTGGGTATGCCTTACTAAATGGACTCCTTGTTCTAAAGGTGCTGCTGGCACACGGCACGCTTCTGCTTTTAGCTTCTGGCCGGTGACATGCTGTATTCTTGATAATCCGAGATAGTCTTACAGCCGGCAACTAAATAGCTTCCCATTTGGTCAGGCATGGTGAGTGAAAACTCCCAAGCAGGGAAACCTTGCAGAAGCTGCCTTCTTTTCCCTTTCATGGCTACTTCTCCAGCCAGTGGCTCTTCAGTGCACCCCACTTGGCGTCTTGGAATCCCTGTGGTCTGGTCCTCCCTTGCCAGGTATGGTAGGTGGGTACTTAGACATGGTGAGGGTCACCCTTTGCCTGCAGGAAGACTCATCGCCAGATTTCTCTGCAGAGTTGCTTTCCCCCTTCATCTTTTTAATTTCCTGAGTCCTGGATTCAATTTGAATTTGTTCTCCTCCTGGGATGTTTTTTCCCCCCCTGTAATATTGGCACTGAAATAAAGACTGTGCAGTGGGGGTGGTGGGGGAGAAAAGGCTACTAGTAGTGAAAATAATGGTTAGGCAGACCTGTGGTGATTTAGGCTTACTAGAAAAGTTTTTTTAAACATTTTCTATTTTGCTTTCACAATATAAATGAGTTCAAACAAAAATATGCAACTATCAATATAAATAAATAAAAAGAAACTTTTTAAAAAAAAATAGCTAAATTGCCTGCATCTTTATGAAGGCTCATTATCCAGCCAGTGAAGGAAGATTTAACAAGCAAGGAAACTTTTGGGTAGATCAAAAGAACGGGATTATATGAGAGATTGTATGAATTAAACGGGATTATAGGAGAGATTGTATGAATTAGACTTCCTTTCCCCAGGGTTTTACCAGAGTCTGATTTGATGAGTTATACAAAAATGATGCGTGAATTGAAGCCTCTCCTGGAGAGACAGTATATAAATGTATTTCACTCTGGAAAATTGCATTGAGATTGTAAACTAATTCCTGCATAGTCAGGTTCAGAAACCTGGTGCAACTTCATTTTAAACTGCCTCTCTCTTTTTCATACATACACACCAACAGCAGGAGAGAGGTTGAAAAGTACTATAAGTGGCATGTGTGAATTTGACCTTAGCTTTGTAGCACTCTTGATATAAACAAAAGGGAATATTCACTATATAGTTACATATTTGTTTGGCAGTGAACTAGTAACTTGGTGAATTTGCTGCAAACCTTTCTTAAGGAGTTGGCAAAAGATTTTATTGGCTCCCCTAAGAAGGGGAGGTATTTCGCTTAAAAGAAAAAATGGGAAGGGAAAACAGT